AAAAGTGGTGCCAGTGGCGGACCTAGGCATCGGGGGTCAGTGTATGCACATATTTTCTTTGGCCCGAAAAAAAAATCATATTAGTGTGGTAAATAATGTCGGGAAACATTTATCAGTAGAACCGATTTACAAAATACCGATTTACAGCGGATAGCTAAATTTTTATAAATAAAATTTACATATTTGGGAAATACATTGAAAGTTCTTTAAAGTCGTAGAGCTCAAATAGAAATATAGTAAAAAATTTATAAGTTAAATTAGTAAATAAAATGAAATTTTATTGATAATAAAAAATTTATTTTGCAAATCATTTTAAGGGGGGGGGGGGGGGGGGGGGAATCAGTAAAACTACACTGGGCGGTTTACACAGTAACAAATTGAAATATTAAATAATACTAGTACTATTTACAACTACATTTATATTAACAACAACAACATTCAACAATAGCAATACTTTAAACAAATAAGGGTAAAAAGTTTGTATATTAAAAAAAATAAGACTGTTACATTTTTATTCCCTAAACAGAGTAATTACTCACATGTTTTAAAGTAAAATACTTTAAATATGACAATATTTTTCAAATTTGACATTAATTATTTCTAATAATAACTAGGATCTTTAAATACAAAACAACATGTAAGAGTAAAATTGCATCCTTTAAAACCTGGGCTAGGATCTTTAAATACAAAACCACACATAGGAGTAAAATTGCATCCCTTAAAACCTGGGCCCCTCACGATGTGAAGCACTTCAAAAGTTAAGGAAAAAGGGTGTAGCCTGGCTGGGGTTAGAACACCTGACGTGAAGCCTAAAGATAATTGAAATATCAGTATTACTACCACCTAGGCTAAGGAGAATTGTTGAAGTGAAGCCTATGCTTACCCTCATTAACATGTAGATCCGCTCCTGAGTGATGCGTTAAGTAAGTTTTGGGGTGCATAAAGCAATGCCCATAATAAATTAAACTTAATTGCCATCAAGGTATATGTACGGAGTATTATTCAAGCAGTTCAACTTTTATTAAATTTCCCGATTCATTCAGCAAAGTTTTTAAAACTAAATTACTACTTTTATAATTATGCATTACTTTCTCCCAATTTTTTCCCTACAAATAATTACTGTATGATTTAATATAGTCACACGTTGATGTATAAACAAATAAAAATGAGAAAATTTTGAAAGACGTAGGAAAATATTATACAAGTAAATGAAATCTTAATTTTAAAACTTGAATCTATGTTTTAACAATATGAATCTACAAACCCCCCAAAAATTAAAAATTAAATTCTCATTTTGATTTTATATATGTAATATCGGCGTCATATGAAAGATAATTAAAAGTTATGAATTTCAATATATTTTTGGTAAAAATGGAAGTACAAATAGAAAAGGATAAAATTTCATTAAAATACTCTGTAAAATATGGTGGACAAAAATATTACTCGGGTACGTACCTAGTAACTAAAGGGTATAATTATTTTCAAAATTACATCTTAGTAATTACATGTAAGTTACTACAAAAAGTTTGATCATAATATAGTCATTAATAGTTACTCGTACTAAGTACTCGTAACATTTTTGTCCATGAATTTTTATTAGTAATTACTAATATTTAATCTCAAAGAAAAATTATAACACTTCAAATAAAATAGGGATTAACTAAATAAGTAGAAACGACGTCGTTTTGGCACCAGCCGTACCCACCACTCCCCACGCATGTTGTAATCGTTTCTTTTTGAATTTGCTTATCTTTTTTTGGGAATAATTAAAAAGCTTGAAATGTTAAGATATTACAAATATATTATAATATCTTAACGTGTCCCAAAATATATTGTAAATATATTTTATCAAAACGGTTACTTTTTTTGGGACACAAATATATTGTAAATATATTATATCTAAACGTGTCGCTCAAATTATCAAAAAAATGTGCAAAATGGTTACTATAAGTGTTTGCATATTAGGTGTAAGGGTGTTGCATATAACACCAGAGAACTGTTGCTAATTTTGAAAAAATGTTGCCAAAAATATTCATTAAAATGATATGAAATATAATTAGTGTTGCATAATAATATAGCAAATATGTTACATAAATGTTAGAAAGTGTTGTCTAAAGTCATAAGATAAGTGTTGCATTTTATCTCAATAAGTGTTGCGTTAGGTGCTTGTTAAAGTGTTACAAAAAAAGTGTTACATTTGGAACATTCTTGCAACATTTTTTAAAAACGTTGCATAATAAAATAAAAGTGTTGCATATGACTTTATGCAATGAGACCTGAAGTAACATTCATAAAAGTGTTGCATTAGCCTTTTGTAACACTATAACGATCTAATGTAACACTTTGTAAGCATTGCCAAAGGCTTGTTTTGTTGTAGTGAAAACATTGTGCCAGTTGTGTCGTGGGCTTGATCTGTTAATAATGGACTTGTTTTAATTTAGGCCACGGATGTACATACAATCGGGTGTAGCATATAAGGACTCATCATTAGAATTGGATCATACGGAGTACAATATTCAGCCATTGAATTTTAGAATTGGCTCATAATCCAATATTCCAATTTTTAGAATTGGCTCATAATCCAATATTCCAATATATTGATACACTTTTCAGTTCAATTCCTTTTTAAATTCACATCACAACGTAACCCAAACTCATAATTCCTGCAAAGGAAAACTGGACAACCATTGGTAATTATTAACTTTGAGAAGTTTTTAATGGAGATCATTGGTGAAAATATGATAATAATAGACAAAGAGTATGCAACAAATTATCATATATATTGGTAAAATGACAACAGGTAGCAAGTGGTTTGCAACAACACACGCTAATACACGTTCTTACACGAATTCATACCTAAAAGAGACAAACGCCGTCAATTAAGTCTAATTGATTCCCAATCTTACAACAAACGTTTAAGATTCAAGGCTCACTCGCATTAATCTTTGTGAATTTTTAGCCAACACGAATAATATTTCCCAAACGGGTGAATATTCACACTACTAGGAAGAGAGCCATTAGGAAGGACACAAAATCCTATCTAAGCTGTGTATTTTCCTTACTAGATTGATTAGCTAGGAACTTAAGTAGGGATGTTATTCCTCTCTAAAACCTCCCTCGCTAATTGGTTATTCCTATCTGAATTCCTTTCTAATATTGTGGGTCACCAAAAAGTACTAAAGATTTAGCTAGGAAGATAGTTCCTTTCCATTTCTTGTTCTACCAAACGTGTTTAACCTTAGAGAGGAAATAGTCCCTTTCAATATTTTCACTTTTTTGGACCGTAACTAATTCTGTAAAATAAAATCAATTAGGTTGAAAGGAACCTAGTTTCTATCAATAATATATATATACATACACATACGTATAGCGGTATAGGTGTGTGTATATACACATATGTACATATAAATAAATAAATAAATAAATAAATAAATAAATAAATAAATAAATAAATAAATAAATAAATAAATAAATAAATAAATAAATAAATAAATAAATAAATAAAATAAATAAATAAATAAATAAATAAATAAATAAATAAATAAATAAATAAATAAATAAATAAATAAATAAATAAATAAATAAATAAATAAATAAATAAATAAATAAATAAATAAATAAATACATAAATAAATAGATAATATAATTATATACAGTATATATATCACACCTGTAGGACAATACACTTTCCAAACTCACAAAATTTTATGCAGAATAATTAAAATAGTTGGTGGACATTTAACTGAACTACAAAATACAATTATGAAGTCAATATTTAACAATACAAGGACTAATACTATGTACTCCGTATTTAACAAAAAAATACATGACTAATTTCATAAGCTACATATTGGTTGCAAATGCAAAGACCAACAGAAAGTTTTGCAGATTCCTTAAACTAATGACTTCTTTGTGAGCTTCCATAAGCCCGCACTTTGTTGGCTACTTGAGTACTTGGCTTTCTAAAGGTCATTTATGTGTTCTTCCACAAAGGATCTTCATATAAGGATTGTAAAGAAACTTCGAAAGCAGTAGCCAATGCCTGAATAAAAATCTGAAAATTTAACACCGTCCTTTCATCCACCAGTGGCTCAAACATCAATTCTTAAAGTTTCAAATTTGAGTTTACTGCTTTCATCTCTTCATAGGATTCCTGGAAATAAAATGAAATATGTAAGAATTTCTAACACTACAAATTTCATTGTGAACAATGTGAATACATAACATAGAAGCCAACATTTTGTTCAAGCTGTGACAAAGTCATGTGCCGTGAGTTGAGCCCAGTTTGATCGTCACGAGTAGTAAACACCACCACCTGCAAGAAATATTGAAAGTTTTTTAGAGCACCAGCATAAATTGTGTTAAATCCTGAGTTCCTGACATATCACATTAGTTCAAAGTGATGCTGAAATGATTTCCTTCATCAAATTACCTTAACTTAAACAAACAAGTAATATGGGTGTCATAAACACAATCCTCCAGCAGATCCGCAGTCAAGGCTATAAAGACCTCCTATAAACGGAAAAACATTTAAAAACCCACTAAGATTGAGGATTATAGTCAGGGCCGGCCCAGAGGGAGTTTAGGGTGTGCGACCGCACATGGCCCAAAAAATTGGAGGGCCCAAAATAAAATTTTTAGTAGTACTACTACTACTCTACTAATGTAATAATGTATGATGAATTGATGAAGTAATGAAATTTAACAAATTTGGTTGTTATTTAGAATTAAATGTAATTAGTTGATGAGTTAATTGGGCTATTTATATTTAATAAAGTTATAATTGCTGCAACTATGTTTTAAGAACATCTGTTTGTCGATCAATATTTATGCCAGAAAGAAAGGCTCAAAGTTAACAGAAATTTTAGCAAATCAGCGAACTTATATTTCACTCTGCTGTATAAATTAATTGAAAATTTTGAGAAAGTACACAAACCTTTTGGAGATGGATTGAAGTTGCAGCGGTGGAAGTAACATCTTGCCGAGTGCAGCTCCTCTCCAGTACATACGGTACTCGAGAATTCTAGTTGATTTATTAAGGAGCTGCCACTTATGGAATTAAAGGTCTGGATTTCATTTATGCCATTTCTTTCCTTTATCTATTTTTAATTGCAATAGCAGCTTCATTACTCTTCTCCGTAAAGTAACCCTACCGGCTTTTTACCGTTTCTACCAGCTCTTTACATTTGTTTCTGATTCTTCGCTTATTCATCACTAGCAGATGATCGAGAAAGAATTCTTTCATCTTTCTGATTCAACATTCAAAGGTTGTATTGCTTTTCTCCATAACTGAAGGTACCTCAATATTCCGGAAAATCCATTTTTTTATTTCGTTGGATAGAATATTGGGTTAAATATAGTTTACATATATTCATAATCCAACATTCTTTTTCTTCTTCGTTTTACCATGTTTTATATTTGGGTTGTCTCTGCTATTGACAAGTTGGATGGTCCATATATTTATGTTATTGAAAACTGTAAAAGAAGAAGTTATGATTATTAAAAAAATCAGAAACTTTAGTTCGGTATTAGTATTTTTAACTAGAAATTAGATTGTGTTGATATTGGTAGTTTAATGCTTATTATATTTATTACAGAACTTGTACTCTCTCCTTCATCACATATGGGTGATATGGATGCTTCTTCAATTCCAATTGTGGGAGTAGAGGATTGGGTTAATAATATTAATACTAATAGCACACATGCCGTTCTTGAGAGTAGACACATGCCGCACTCGAATATGGAGTTTAAATCTGAAGTAGAAGCATATGAGTATTATAATGCATATAGTAAGAGATACGGATTCGGCATTCGTCGAGAATATGTCAATAGAAGCAAAAAGGATGGAATATTAACCTCAAGGAGATTCTCATGCTACAAAGAGGGCATGCAAGCTACATACGAACGAGACAACTTGATAAAAAAATCCGAGAGCAGAAACTTGAACCGGATGCCAAGCACGGATGGTAATTTCATTTGATCGTAAGATAGAAAAGTACAAGGTTAGTGACTTTGTAGATGAACATAATCACACTCTTCAACCTCTTGATTATGCAGTCATGCTTTGAAACTTTTGGATTTCATGAATATTAAAGCTATTCCTCAACATTACATACTTAAGCAGTGGACGAAGGAAGCAAGGTTGGGAAGCAACCGTGATATTAATGGGAAACATATTGAGTTAGACGTTAAAGCTCACTTCATGAAGAGATAAAATGAACTATGTCCTCGAATGGTAAAGTTAACAAATAGGGCATTTGAATCTCATGAAGCTTACACCTTTATGTCTAAATTATGTGAAGAGTCTAGCAGAATTATAGAAGAGATGTTGGCAAAAATGTCTGTCCAAGAAGAATCAAGTGGTGCATGTGACGTTGCTATATTGATTGGATCCAGAAACATTTAGACCAATGTTAATACTATTGATATTGATGGTCCCATAGGAATAAAGAAAAGAGATTCTTCTAATAAGGGAAATAAGCGGCCTAAATCTTGGGTGGAAAAATTAGCAAGAAAGTGAAAGACAAATGAAGTGCATAAAAAGAAAAAAAGATCAACCAATTTGGTAAAAGACTCTTTTTTTTGTTAAACTATGTAATTTCTTGTTTTTTGTAGGTACCATTTGCACCCACAACTGGAGGAATCCAACAGTTGATTTCAAATTCAGTTTTACCTTATATGCACCAACCATCTGCATATATTCCCATGACCAATTCATTCACTGATTTCATTGATACTGGAGAGCACTTTGCGGGTGAAAGTCAAATCATTAATCCTAACCAAGACCCAAATAGAAGTGCATATTGTAATTTTTGAGAAGGAAGTGGTTGTTTTTTTAGAAAATGTAGATTACTAAGAGCTCACTTGATGGATAATTTAGGAAGTAGTCGTTTGTGAAACATTTGATTTGTTTTTGCTATTTGGGGTGTTGCAATTTACATTGTGGAAAGTAGTTTGCAGACTTTCTTTTTGACAAGTTGTTTGCAGACTTATTAAAATGAAAATTGAAGCTTTTGTTGTACAAAGTATTTGTTTATTTACATTGTGGATAGGAGTTTGGGACTTTGATGATTTGTCATTCAAACTGCTATATTTTTAATTTAGACTGCTGCTTGTATTTTTGGTGTTTGTTTCCTAGAATATTACTTTTCTTCATATGTAAACTATTTTCTTAACTATTTTTTATTGATTTGCTTAACTTATTAAATAAATAATTTAAGAAGTTTTTTTTTTTTGCGAGTAATTTAAGAAGTTTTCGAACCTTCAAATTAAGCATTTTTTAACCTTCAATTCAAAAGTCTAGTTTATGGACCTTGGATAACGAGTTCATGAATTATCTAAAATTGATCGGGTTGATCACAATTCACAAGTGAATTAGAGAAGAAAGAAATCAAAATAAGTAACTTTAAATACTCCGTACTTCCTAGAAGCCAATTCAAGGAGTACTTTTTAAAAGTCAAAGAGAGACAAATACAGTACCAACACAATTCCAAACCTTCGATCAAGTGGGTATGTGGCATCTCTCTAATACATCAACTGGAATTGTCCAGTACCGTAGGTCTCCATTTTACCATTTTGGCCGTATGGGAAATGAAACCTAATGTCGTGGAGATATAGAGCCCGTTTGGTAGCACCAAAATTGGCTATTTTGGCTGATTCTGCTGAAATTTATGAAGTTCTGGCTGAAGTGGCTGTTTTGGCTGATTCTGCTGATTCAAGAAAAAATATTTTAAAAATATATTTTATTAATAAAATAAAGAAAAAATTTATGTAAAAATAGCTAAAATGGTCATCTACAGTAACTTCAGCCAATACTGCCAAAAAAGTAACTCCAACCTTACTTTTTCTGCTTATTACACAATCCAGCGCGCGAAAGTAAAAGTTACGTGTTTGGTGAAAAAGTTGGCTGATAAGCCTAATAAGCCGAAAAAGGAGGTCTCCAAACGGGCTCATATTGGGCCTAAATATTTGGGAGGGAAATATTCGAGCAACCCTAAATTGTGGAGGGAAGTTTTTCAATTTTTCAATGGGCAGGGAGGTTGTGAAATTTTAGGAGGGAGGGTATTAGGTGTGTTTATGGCTGGTTTAAGGCATATGGACGTTGGGACATCAATGCAGTCCAAAAAAACGTGTGTTTCAATGCAATCCAATAAATCGAGTTTGAACTGGAGCTCAACTGAGTCCAGTTTAAGCTCGGGTCGACTTAACTAGTTAATATTGTAGGTTTGAATTCTAATAATATACTAGATCTGGAGTTCGAATTTGAGCTAAGAATTAATAAAACTTCCATTTTACAAATTATTAAAATTATATTCATATGTTGAATAAATGCAACACTTTTACTTTTACTCTATTCACATGTTCTACTTTGACTACGTTTTATTTATTAATGTAATACTATTATTTTATGAAAAAAATATAGTTAAACTTGTTTCATTGTAAATTTTCATAATCAATTTTTTTTAATTTTTATTAATACAGAATCATTTATATTAATGGTCAAAGTTATGCCTCGGCAAGTGTGAAATGTTAACGTTGCATTTATTTAAGAACGGAGGATGTACGTAGTACAAAGTGTATCTAATACTCGTATTTGTACTTAATCGTTCTCAATTTTAGTTTCTCTCTTTCACTCACATTTTTACTCCTTATTTTACCACGTAGTATATCAATTAAATACAGAGTATCAATTAAATTTTGAAATAAAAAGAAAGAAATATCAATAAATAAACCAATAAAATATACTACCTCCGTCCCAAATTGATTTGCAAATTTGACTTTTCTTGGTCAAACAATTTTGTTTTGTTTGCTTAATTAGGATGTTAATTTTTAATTATATTCTTATTTGATGTTAACAACTTTGAAGAGATTTTAATGTAGTTTATGAATATGTAAATTTTAATTATTAAAAATTGAGTTAATTATCCGTAAAGAGGGTTGACTTTTACTATTGGTTGACCAAAAAATGTTGACTTTGCAAAACAAATTGGGACGAAGGGAGTATATACAAACAAATATATAATCATTTATTTATTTATTTATTTATTTATCTATTTATTTATTCATTTATTTATTTACTACGGAGTATATATTATGCTATGGCTCTCGAGCCGACTCACGAGCTTACGAGCTCAAACAACTTGACCAAACTCGAGTTAAGTTTTGACCGAACGGCTTAACTCATTTGTACCTCTATTTATAAATAATCTTGCTTTTATTTGATCACTTCTTTGAATTGGAAGTTTTTTTGCAAACTAATGGAAGTTAAATTTCTTATTAACGTGGAAGTCACGCGCGAAGGGCCAGTCGCACAGCATTCGACCATTCTTCGTAATTATTGTTCGTGAGACGAACCGGAGTGATGAAATCACCCGGTCGATCCTGAGGCCCCAAGAAATATGGAGAATTATAATCAAATTTGGCTGCAAGTGTTGATTCGTCTTCTTTAGACATCCCTGCGGATGAAGGAAAATCGCTAGATTAACGCGGAGGCTCTGATACCATAATAACTAAGCTTTCGTACACAGGTATGCTGAGAAAAAAGAATAAAATTTACGATCTATTTCTCTTGCCATTCATTAGACCTGCACAAAAGCGGGTTCGGGCCGGGCTCGGGCCGGGCTTTCCATAAGTTTTCTGCCCATCGTGTGTGGGCGGGCCCGGCCCGGCCCGCAAAAACGGGCCTAACCTCATGTCCATACCCGCCCGTAAGAGCGGGCCGGGTAGTCCACCGGGCCGCCGGGCCCGGTAAAATTTTAAATTTTTCAAAATTATGTAATTTATTTCATACTTTATAAATAATATTACAACATTTAAAAAATTGCTAATACGCTTATAATGTATATAGGCCTTTCATCACATACACAAAAAATATTTACACAAAAATAATAATGAGAAACTATATCTAAAATTTAAAATTCAAGCACAAAGTAATATCTTTAAGTACAAAAATAGATATTATATTGGTTGGACTATTTGTTAAGAACTAAAAACTTAAATTTAAACATAATAAACTATAAATATGTATACAGATAAATTAGTAAATATGAAAATATACAAGTGTACATGTAAATAAATACATAAATGAGTATATATAAAAATATATATGTATATATACTAAATGTAGCGGGCCGGGCTTATCGGCCCGAACGGGCCTACATCCTAACCCAAGCCTGCCCATATGTTGTTGCGGGCCGGGCCCGGGCCGGGCCGGTGGGTACATATATATGTCCAAGCCTGCTAATTTGTGCGGGCGGGCGGGCCGGGCGGGCCGGCCCGGTTTTGTACAGGTCTACCATTCATCTGCCAATCGGCCAGTATAAATACAATAAAATACCGAGTAAAAAGCATCCATATAAGGACTAAAAAATAACAACCAAATATAGATAAGATTCTAGCCATATTAAAATACTACATTTTAATATAATATCCGCTAATAGTTAATAAATCATATCTCCCAATAGACATGTACTGTAATTAATAAAAGTAGACAATAATATTGGACCTTTCCCGGACCTCATATGAAGAGACTTAGAAGCTGTTCCGTTCACCTGATCTGAATGTTTCTGATCTGAATTTTTTAAGTTCTGATCTGATCTGATCTGAATTTTTCTGATCTGATCTGATCTGAATCTTTCTGATCTAACCTGATCTGATCTGAATCTTTCTGATCTGATCTGAATCTTTCTGATCTGATCTGAATGTTGCTGAACTGATCTGAATGTTGCTGATCTGATCTGATCTGATCTGAATGTTTCTGATCTGATCTGAATTCTTCTGATCTGATCTGAATTCTTCTGATCTGAATCTTTCTGATCTGATTTGAATATTTCTATAATTGTAATTGTAATTACAATTATAATTATTAGATTTATAATTGTAATTAAAAATATAACTTAAATAAAATTACAATTATAATCATAATTATAAAAAAATAATAATTAAAATTAAATTTAAAATTATAATAATTATACCAATTACACTAATTATAAATACAGATACAATTATAAATGTAATTATATTTTTAATTATGATTAATTTTATAATTATTATTATTGTAATTATAATTATAATATTTATTTCTATAGTCATAATTATGTCTATAATTACTAATTTAAATATATAATTACTCCGAAGTAATAATAATTACAACAATAACAACAAGAACAACAATCATATTAATAATAATGATGATTATAATTATAATTACATTGTAAATCATAATTATAATTATAATTATAAATATATTATATTATATTATATTATATTATATTATATTATATTATATTATATTATATTATATTATATTATATTATATTATATTATATTATATTATATTATATTATATTATATTATATTATATTATATTATATTATATTATATTATATTATATTATTATAATATAATAATAATTTTATATTATTAACATTATTATTATATTATTATTAATAATATTATTATATTAATATATTTATATTATTAACAATAACTATAATATAATAATCATAATTAATATAATAATAAAAGTGATAAATCATGTTTGAATTTTTTGACCTGATCTGATCTGAATGTTTCTGATCTGATCTGAATGTTTCTGATCTGGTCTGATCTGGTCTGAATCTTTCTGATCTGATCTGAATGTTTCTGATCTGATCTGAATGTTGCTGAACTGATCTGAATGTTTCTGATCTGATCTGAATCTTTCTGATCTGATCTGATCTGATCTGAATCTTTCTAATCTGATCTGATCTGATCTGAATAAAATAAGATTAAGGAATAAGTAATAAGATTAAGACGAACGGAACAGCTTCTTAAACTGATTTGACCACAACAAAATACACATGTTGGATTCAATCGGACTAGAAAGTTTCATTCCACTAATGTAACACTAAAATTGGCAGTTATGAAAGCATTGTTTGAGCATGATAACCAAACAAACTTAAAAACCCCTTTGCTACATTTGCTCAAAGAAAAATCACATTTTCACGTGATACAAACTTTACTACACTATAATATACTCCATACAATGTTTAATATTGAATTTATTTTGAAACACACAGGATT